TTATTGTAAAATGTAATCGAATTACGTGTTTCTCTTAATCGTACTTCGTGCAGAACCCTGCTCATCGACAGAAAAACACTGACTATTTGGACAGAGTAACCGAATAGAGTAACATTTGTTTTAAGCATACGTATCAATTGAATAATACTTATTTATATTATTCCATAGGATTCAATGTCACAATCGAAATTTAGCGACTACTTTAACGTTCCAAAGGTTTCTTTCTTGACCCCGCGCAAATTTCGGACTTGTGAAAATTAATGTCTGATCGAATTTAGAACCGCTCCCAACTCATTTCTCCCCAAATTGGACGTATTTCTGCCAAACGGAACTATATGCATTAAGACATGAGTCCTGAGACCCATAGGAATACTTGGATTACAGGGCTCAAATCGTATTGGACTTAGTTTCGTTTGGCAGAAATACGCCCAATGGAGAATTTGCACGGACATGTTTTATTGCATCGTCTGAAAGTGCCTAAAGAGTTGATTTTGCAGTATTTTTTATATTTTTTTTTGGCTATGGGAAATAGTATAAAATAGATTTGAAAGTGAGAAAATGCATCACCTAGTGACGTCCCTTAGCGGCATTTCCCATTTGAACGCATGTATTCTCGCAGATTAGATAATTTAGTCATATATCCTCCAATAATTGTTCAATTTATGAACAAAGGGTATCCTCGCATTCAACTTACTCGGTAGCGTCCATTCAAATACGCAATTGATCAAATTTCCGACACCTGCAAATTCTCCATTCTGTCTTAGTGCGTTTCTGTTAAACTCTCCCAATCTTACGGATATAATAAAATTAGAGAACTCGTGAAAAATAGCAGGAGAAATTGAGAGAGTGTCAAGATTTCTGGTCTGGAACAATACAACCCTACATACCCTACCCTGTGTGCAGTTATCACCAGAGACCCTTTAAACGGACCGAGAATTAGCAGCCTGTCAATGTGCTTCTCATCCTTTTCCTTTTCCAATTTTCCTCCGTGAGCCCTGCCAGAGATTGGATTGCGAATTACATTCCTCCTCGTTGAGTAGGTTTGTGCGGTGAGATTTAAACCGGGGTTCTTTCATCCCGTCCTGTCGGTTGGTTAGCAATTCAAGACACCGGTGCCAACCTGCAAGCTACTTAAGAAACAATAAAGTTCATTCACGCCAAGCTCTGAAGATTTCACTTTATGATTACGCACAATAAATCCCCTCCTTGAGGGATACAATATTCAAGTTTTTACAAAAATTTGATTGTCAGTTCTTATCGAAACTGTTTACCGAAACACAAAATTTCAAAAATCGGGCTGCTGGTGATCAGGCAAGCATGATGTATGCAATAATGCCTTCTGAATCTTCTGAAGTGCGTTTTCAGTTTTTTAAATAGGACACATCCTGTAGGTAAGGAATACAAAAAGCTAAGTATTTCAGCTCTTTCTATTTCAGATCAATACATTTATGTCTAATTCGGCCTCCTGTTGTGTGTAGTGGTTGCAGCGCTTGCTCTATGATCTGGAGGTTCTGGGTTCGATCCCAAGCCAGGTGACCCGAGTATGATGATCTCAAACAACGGTTATCTGGAGCTGGCTGGTTATTAGGGGCGTTAAAGCGCAGAATTATCCCTCGTGGGATACGTGAAGTGAAAAAGAAGAAAATTATCTAGAAACAGGCTTTCTGAAATTATACAGTCGAAACGGAACAGACAAACACAGATGCGGAAAAACTTGTTTGACCTTGTTACTGAGCTTCCGGTGAAGAAAACACAAGCGTTCGAATATTTAGCGCGTAGCCTCTGATAAAGCATCGTTGCCAGATTATGCTGAAAAATCAGCACTATTCCCCATTTACACACGCATGTTAAATACCTCACTTGAATGGCACAACCTGGCGACTTTGTGATAAAGTATGCAGGTCGTCAGAGAGGGAGTTGAAAAATGAGACGTAACCAAGTGAATGGAGTAGGAAAGCTGAAACGACCTTAGAATCGACATAAATTATTCAGTGTGCGAGAGCGAACGAGAGGGCGGGGGGTTGGACTGTCTTGGGATGACTAGAAATAAATGGAGAGTGTCGCGCTGCAACTCTGCCGCGCTGAGGAAGAACATCGTAAGTGTCTTTCAACGTTGTCCAATTTGCTTTGATAAAATGCAAATTTTCTGGGAAACTGTCGAATTTTTTCCCCTCGATTTTTCCGTGAATTTCATTCGGACTCTGACCTAATGTATCCCTAAATTTCAACGAAAAATAAATCTTAACTTTTGTCAAAAATAAATAATTTATTGGAGGAAATTTGGCAACATTCGGATGTTCTCCCGGCGTCCTGCTCGGTGAAACTGAGAATCCCGAGCCTGACCATTAATGAAGCCTAGCAACAGCCCCTCTTGCTCTTTTTAACGCGCTCCTCGAGGTGTTCGTCCTGCCGAGGCAAAACGTCGTATGGAAATTCGAGTGTTGCCAGATTGCTTTTCATGAAATATTTATTTCCGAGAATATGTTTACATACATTGGTGTTTTAAAAGTTTTAAATACTTCAGATACAACTGTGGTTCAATAGTTGGAAGAAAAATATTCATACTATATCTGGAAAATTACTGTTTAATTGAAAGAAATTTGGCAACGTCCGCAGGTTTATAAGACGTTCTTGCTTAACCAGTAGCGTTACCGTGCTTTTTATCTTCCTGATACTAATGAGTTCGAACAGCGCTAAGAACAAATGAACGCTTGAGTTGCGATGCTGTGATAATACTATGCAGCCTTCTCTAGTTTCTGACAACTAACCATGACGGTAGGACTGTGTTTGTATTATATTTACAAGTCTAAGAATTCCTTACTTCCGAACAGCCCAGGATGTCTTATTAGAGCAGCAATGTATTATTAAAGACTGCCTCAAGATTTGAGGGCGATTATGATTCGTTGGATGGTTAGGAACATGCTTAAAACTGCATACGATGATAGGGATATATTCTTAAAGCGCGCTCTTCCAACACCACGTGTTGGATTTATCTCCTTGTTTCTGCCTAAATTTAGTCAGTTTATTCTCTAATGAAATTCAAAAATTATGCTAAACGTTATTAAATACGGATCTGAGGACTTGGTGAGTTCTCGGACTACCGCTCTCTTTTTGTGCCGTAGTATATTGATTTATTTTGGGAAAGCTCCGTTCTCTTGAAGGATGCCTGTCGTTCTAAATGCGTTGGAGCGCCTTCAATTTCGTATGATACTGTGCAACACCTCCGTTGCGAAATAGTTGCTTGATGCGCCGTGGCAAGCGGCCGCGCTGTGGCTCCTTCAAACCTAACTGGGATACTTCACGCATTGCGCAATGCGTGAAGTATCCCTGTTAGGTTTGTAGGCGCCAATGCGAGTTTCGCGATGGCAGCAGTTAGGACGCCGCTCCGCTCTGTGTTTGGTTTGATATTTAAAGTTGCTAAGTCAGCGTTTTTCAACTGATGATTATGAAATGTTTGCACAATCTGCAAGGATTGTTCTCATTTAAATTGATGAAAAATAAATATGTATTAAAGGAAGGGTTATCATGTGTTTTGTAAATATTAAGGTGGCCTCTGGTCAAATTCAATGAGTTCCAAAGCACTCTAATATTTTCTTTTAAATTTAAGGCTTTTACTGTCCTCCAACATGGTTCCCGTTATGGGCATACTTTTTGCTTGATTGCATAGGCTAAGTAAAAAATTGAGCGCAAATAGTCACGACTCGGAATGAGAATGCCTCTTGTTGTTCATTTGGAGTGCACTATACGCAATAAGGAAATACTGTTTCTGACTCATCCATGAAAGCACCTATCCATCTGCATGAGACATCTATATCTAAAATGAGACAGAAATAGTAGGTCAGTTTTTTCTGCAGTACAGCTCATTTAATGCAAAAGGCTTTTTTTGGCTGACTCTGCACGAATGACGAATATTTTTTTGGCCGAATTCACAGACCAGGCATCGCTACTGGAGATACTAAATTGCGCATTGCCTCAATTCATACCTTGTTTGGGGGTCGATTGTGACATCATTGAATAAAGTGAGGATTTTTTCTGTAAAAGGGTGCATGAGGCTAGTAATGCTGCTAAGATTGTGGAATTTTTTTTATCGTTTGCGGCAGATGAAATTCCTTCACACTCAACTTACTTCCTTACAAAAGTGAGGAAAAACTCGGAGGAGATTCAGGGAAAAATTCATGGCAAAACTGTTGGATGAGTTACCTACAACCACAGAACTATATTGCACTATCTTCGCAGCATTGGAAGTCTCATACGCTTTTTTACCGAAAAATGTCTCCATTCTATAAAACAGCGGATGGCTTCCAATGGCGAGGCGTGAATGATCGACTATGGATATTTCTCCATTTGAAGCTGTGGTAAAGAATCGATTATTAAGGTGTTCACTGCGAACACACTGTTTTTCGATCCTTTTCCATAGGTTCAAATGGTAGATCGATTGATGCATCGCAAAGCACACCACGCCACTAATAGCTTCTATAAGATGAGCTTTTCATAAGAGGGTCCAATGTAGTTACAACTGATTTTCACAATGTAACGCCGTGCTGGTCTCTTTTGATTTTAATTTCTTTTTTATTTTTGTACTTTTTTAGCGGTTGATAATGGTGTCGAGAGACACCGAAACGTCCCGTGTATTATTATGTATATGAGGACTTATATGTAACAATGGCGGATGTGAAAAATTACCTTTTCGAAACACATTAAAAAAACTGTTTTGGCATCGAGAAAATTTTGAGAAAATACTTGAGATGTGAACTTTGAGATCTGTACATTATGCGAGAGCCAAACATATTACATTTTTGTGTGAACATAAAAGTTTTTTAAGCGTGTTTCGAAAAGGTAATTTTTCACATCCGCCATTGTTACAGATAAGGCCTCATATAAGCCTTGTTTCCACTGTTCTCTTGTTTTTCTTTTACTATTTCCGTTTTGGGCTGCCTGTGCACCCTTGTCTCTGTTGCAACTGATTTTCTAAACGATACTCATTTATTCTTGTGTTTCAGGTGCCGCTCGGCGATGACAGAGCCGCGCTCGGTTTTGGAACCTGCCTGGGCCTGGGCGGGCGGTCTCTAATGCGGCGCTCAGGGGGTTGCGTTCTCTGGGTGGAAGGCGCGCCCCTGGGCCCGGCTCCCGGGTGGCGGCGGCGGGCGTGCCCCCGGGCGCTCGGTAGCCGGTAGGGCGGCGGGCGCGGGCGCAATGGGCGAGCCCTGTCCCTTATGAAGCAATGCTGGTTGCCTGGCGCTGCGCCTTCCTGCTCGTGCTCAAGACCCTCGTCGTCGGCGTGGCCCACACTCACAAGCACAGCCCCCGCGTGGTCCGCACCAAGTACGGCCTCCTCCGCGGCATCGTCCACGAGTCCCTCCGCGTCGAGGCCTTCCTCGGGGTCCCGTACGCGACGCCCCCGACCGGCTCCCTCCGCTACATGCCCCCCGTGACCCCCTCCATGTGGGAGGACACCCGGCTCGCCGACGCCTACTCCCCGGTCTGCCCGCAGCGCGTCCCCGAGATCGGGAACCGCACCGAGGCCCTCATGGAGCACCCGCGCGGTCGCCTCGTCTACCTCGAGAAGCTCCTCCCTCTCCTCACCAACCAGAGCGAGGACTGCCTCTACCTCAACATCTACATGCCACTTCTCGGTGAGTCCTCCCTCATTCTCCAATCATCTAGATCCAATCTTTAATCAGATTCCCTTGCAGATCAGCGGGGTCAATGTTGAAATTGATAGACGAAGCTATAGACAAAAAACACTAACAAAAAGATTCGTAGAATTTATCGTTCCCTTGCGCTGTATTTCACACAGAGTCAATTTAGAGTCAATTCTGCTAGAAGAAAGGTAACTGTTACTGTATGCTGGTACAGGTAATCGTTCTTCTGGCAGAATCGACTTTGAATTCACGCTGTGTGAAATACAACGTGAAGGAATGATAAGTTCTACCAATCTTTTTTTTTTCAGTGAAGACGAAAGGGATATGAAGGGATCCTATCGGTGGAAGCAGGTGGTTGCAATGGACAAAGGAAGGGAGTAATAGCCATCTTACGGAAACCCACGAGAGGACCTATAGTTAATCCACCATTTTTTCCCTTAGTTTATAGGAGCCACCCATTTAAAAGCAATAGGGTCCCGCCATACTTCCTATGTCTGCTTTGTCTATCGATCAATTTCAACAATCAGCCCGCAGTTGAGCCAACCAGTGGCGTGGCCTGCTTTACGATATATCCATTGATCTTCTATTTAAACTTATGGAAAAGGATCAATAAACACGTTGTTTGAAACGGACACCTTTATAATCGATTTTTTACCACAACTTCAAATGGGGAAATATTGATAATCGATCATTATCGGTGCCAACTTGGATGGATCTTAAATTGTTTAATAGCAAAATCTAACATACCTGCGGCAGATGCGCAGTTCTTCTTGGTGCTTCGTCAATCTTCTGTCTTTCGTCGGTCATGTGACCAACTTGCCACACGGAAAAAATTGAATGTTGAATTGGCATTTATCCTGTTAAAAAAATGTGCGACAAGTATCAAATGCTGTTTTTACACAAAAAAATGCTAACTAAAGATTAAATTTAATAATTGAACCGTGGACGTTGTTAACACAGCATTGTTCTATTGTAAAATCAGCATTTTTACTTGTCACACATTTTTTTAACATTATAAATGCTAAAGTAACATTCGACTTTTTTCCTTGCATTAAGTTCATTTGGCCGAGGATCAATGCTATTCCCGCTCAAAATTGGGACCAAAAGGAAATCCTGTGTCAAATTTCTGCGAGTGGATTTAGTTGATTTTTTTCTTTCTGCCAACTTCCGTTACAACTCGTTACGGTGCGTCTATAGCATGGTTTTCACGTTGGTAGCAATGACGACCATACATCCGAAAGTCTCGATCTACCTCCCAAGATGCGTCGAAAAGACGTTGGCTACAAAAGTTGGTCAACGTTCATCAAGCAACATAGTCTAGTTTTTGACTTTAGCAGAGCGTATTGTTACCTTAGATTTGCAACCCCGTCGATTCAGTCAAAAAAGTTGACCAAATACTTTCGTGGATTTGCCTCTGAAAATTTCACGATTATGATGAGCCCTGATGCTTCGATGAAGCATATCTTCATAGCATTTGGATACGAAATATGTTTTCAACGCCGCACTAAAATTAGCATTCACCCTGACTTAATGTTTATATTTTGAGTCTGTTTTTCCGCGCACGCTTCATTGCTATTCAAACAGTGCTTTTTGCAATGATGAGATGAATTTTTCCGCTTCTTCAAAGCGGTGCAGTCTGAGATGCTTTCCGCGGAAATCCGAGGGAGAATGTCTCTCTCGCCGTCACTAATCGCGAAAGCACCTGAAATTCTGTCCGGTGGAATTAGCCGGAACAAAACTTTTTTAATTAAACAGCAACTTTTTTCCCGTCTCCTTAAAGCTTCATCGCGGAATTAATTAAAATTTAGTGGTGACGAAATTGAGACCGCCGACGGGGCGTGAAGGAAAAGCGAAGATCAACTCGGCCGAGAGAACTAATTAGAATAATTCTCTGAAGTAGATAAATTCAATTTTCGCTTGTCGGTCAATTTTAAAATTCCAAGAGAGCTCCAACCTTGAGGAGTGAAGTCCGAGGTAGTCTGATGAAGCGTCTTCCTCGTACCGCGTTCGAAGTGTTAAATTCGTTGTCGAAGAGATTTGACCGTGTTTAAGCGAATAAACGAAGGAATCCATTTGAAACAGGATCGGAGTGGCTCGCATCCAGTGGCGTGGCGTGAATTGCGATATATCGATTGTTATGCCGTTTAAAGCTATGGTAAAGAATCGATTATTAAGGTGTTCGCTGCAAAACACCCTAATCATCGATCCTTTACCATAGGTTTAAATGACAGATCAATCGATAAATCGCAAAGCACGCCACGCCACTGCTCGCATCTGAGGGCGTAGACTCTTGGCTGGTTAAAGGAACGTAATGTGATATTTTTTAGTAGAGCATCCCGTACGTGGAGAGGGGCTCAGAAAATCTTGGCGAAGCAGCACGAGTTTACGCTATTTTCAGGTTCAAAGTTTATTAATCGTACAAGGTGAAAATTACAAAATTGAACGTATTGAAGTAACCGACAGACTCCTGAAATTAAAGGAAACATAAAAAATTAAAGCCACGAGACGCTTCCAAGCACTTTTATTTCAGAAAAAACTGACCAGTGATGCGTTTTACACGAGCTTAAGATGTAGGTCTGCAAATCCATCCTAAAAAAGAATCAGACATGAACCTGGAAAAAAATCGAGTATTAACACAGTCGAAGACAGGAGAGACATATTCGGGCCTCTTTTATTAACTTTTCTCCCGAATCTGAGCGACACCTTATTGGCAGGATACATACAGCACAACATTGAGAGCTCACGCTTTGAGTCATCGCGCCTTCAATCTTTCAACTGCAGCACGGACGTCAATGGAGTACGAATATTTGTATCTTTGCTCCGTCGTAAACGCACATCCTTTCCCTCACTCTATTTTAATTTTGCGTTTGTTTCCGTTTGTCTAATTCGTAATGGTGCTTCAAGCACTACGAGAGTAACATAGCCAAATGTAAAGGAAATGTGTTCGGGCCTCTTTTTTAACTTTTCTCCCGAATCCAAGCGACACCTCATTGACAGCATATATCAGAGCATTGAGAGCTTACGCTTCGCATTATCGCACCTTCAATTTTTTAGATGCAGCACGGACGTCCATCAAGTACGAATAGTTGTATCTCTGCGCCGTCGTTAACGTGATTCCTTTCCCTTGCTTTATTTCCATATTGTGTTTGTTTCCGTTTGTCTTATTCCGTTTGTCTTATTCCGTTTGTCTTATTCTTCAAACTAGTAGCAGAGAGTAGAGCATTTCGAGTTCACGACGCACGCCATCGCGTCTTACATTTTTCATATGCAATGTGGAAATCCATCTTGCGCGAATAATTGTATTGCGTTTACACTTCAGATGTCTCTTATTCTTGAATTTCGAGATAAATTAAGGTTAAGTTTGCCCAAGATATGCTATGGTATATCCAAATCAATAGTCATTTTGAAAAGGAAGAAATCTGTTTAAAGGTTTCTCAAGAGGTCTATAAAGGGTGCGTTTGTCTGAAAAACGAACCGACCATCGCTTCTGAGGGAGTTACACATGGCGAATGAAGGAGGGGGATGATAAAGTGCCTGTATGTCAAAAAAAAGGTGAACTATTCACAGAATAGTGTTTACACTTCGAATGACATGAGGGATGAATGTCACACTCCAAAATAGACCTTATTTTTGGTAATTTTGTCCTAAATCTAACCAGAATGTTTGTTTATCTAGTTTTCTAAATTTCATGTTCGAAGTTGCATGATCCGCAGAGCATGGCAAAGCTAATACATATTTCAGTCTCACTTTCAAATCAGGTAACTCCACCGAGCGTGAATCCATTTCACTGAACGCAGCTCATCCGAAAAATTGCACCGTTCTTTTATATTTAGCGAGAGGATTCGGTAGTTTTCCTTCATAAAATCTGACACTTTGAGAAAGGAGCCGAGTCGAATCCAATCGCGAAAATCAGCCTGACGAATGTGTGACATTTAGAGTCAGAGTCACTCTGCTAAATCCTCGACTCTCCAATTCAGATGCATCTCTTCCGGCTCATTTTCCTTACGACAATAAGGCTCAAAGTCCCCAGCTTCCGATTGTGTTTCGCATCGTCCCCCTCCCACCTTTCGCAACAGCTAAAGCAGCGTTGTTTTCGATCGGGGAAGAGCTAGTCGTAAGAATCGAAGGGGAGTTTTTCACGCCCCATTTCATCGACGGCTGGGAATGGTCCCCCGCGGGCCGGAGGGAAGGGGCTAGCTGGGCAAACTCCCTTCAAGTGCTGCCAATTTTGACAGTCCCCCGTTTTCTGATTGAGCGCACCGTTGTCACGTTTTGGGGGGTCATGTAAACGTTGACTTAGAAAGATTTGACTAGAATTTCCGTGTTACCAAAGGAAGTAGTAAGTGGATAGACGAGGGTCTCATCAGCTGAACCTAATAAAGTCCGAATGTAAAATTGTATTAGAAATATCCTCCATCCTCCGAAAATTGTCAATTTATATAGCTTTTAATAGAGCTGAAAATACAATTTGTCGACGGTTAATGACTAAAACAATTTTACTTTCGTTCACTTACTTTTTTTTATAGTTCGATCCTCTGTTAAGTGTCTAAACACGTTTTTTTAAAAAGGTTCCTTTACAATGCAGACTGTATAGTTTTTCATGTTTTATAGTTTTAACGTTTGACCTGCGTGATAATCATAAAATTTACACATAAAGTTGGGTGATTAAATACTTAAAATGGCCATCGTGTAATCACAGGATAAGTGTCAACAAAGGATTAGACCACAATAAAAAAGTAAGTCGACACAAGTAATAATGACATCCGACAAACCAAAGTAGCATAGTGCAACGAAAATATTGAAATTAAATTGCAATTTCATTTCAATGAAATTGTAATTTTTTTGCCATTAAATTGCAATATGTTTTCATCATCTAGTCGATTTATGCCAATTTTAAACAATCAACAAAATGAGCTCCATGTGTCAGAAAGATAGGCAATATGCAATGAAAAATTGCAACTTATTTCAATTTTATCGCAATAAGTTTCAAT